CCCCCCCTTAAACCCCCATTAATGCATTTCTATTAAATACCAGAAGCAGCTGCTTTCATAGCTACACTGAGCTTCATGCATCAGTGAGAAGAAGAGAAGAAAAAGGCCAATGGACGGAGGTTTTGTTTTTCATCAAAAAACATCTTCTCAATTAGTTATTTCGTGTATGGCATTGTGTTATTTTCACATGCTTACCTTTACAACAGGTAAGGTTTGCAATACTTATGAGGAATAAAAAAAGTGACTGACTATCCAGCTACACTTCATAAGGTTGAGTCTCAGCTGTTAATTACAGCTTGTGCTCAACCAGGAGCCACGTGTTCTTGTCCCAGTTTATCATCTTTCCCACTTGGCAGCTGTTTTCATCGTTGCCTTCGTGGCTGTTTCCATTTGTGCTTCCCCGATCCAGGTACCGTCACTGTAACGCATCAGTTCAAGGCACAAACGCGTCCTCGCTGCTGTGTGTTACGTGGTTGGAGTTTATTTGGAATCAGTGACCTCTGCAGAGTGTCCCGCCTCCAGCAGGACCAGTTAACTGGCTCATCATCAGGTTTAACAGCTTGCACCAGATGCACTGGGATGCTTGTGATGCACCGACTGGCCGACCTCGATTCACCGTAACAACCAGTGTTTCAGCTCTGATGTGAACCTGCTGCCTCTTCATTGGGCTGGTTTAGCAGTCGCAGGCCGGGCCTTGCTGGGCTCAGCTATCGCCTGAGTGTTATCAGTTCGAGCTTTAGCGGTCTCTGGACGGGTTTTGGACTCTTTCTTTGGCGCTGGGAGGGTCAGCGGTTCCCAGAGGAAGAACTCGTGCAGGAGCGTATTAACAGGATCCGGACACTCCATCATGACCATGTGACTGCCGTCCTCCAAGACCTTCAGGAACGCCATTAGAAGTATCTGATAAGAATAAGGATAAGAATAAAGGTTAGACTCATCACCAGCTCAACACTTTCTGAATGATATTGTCAAATATTTCTGCAAATAACAAACTACAGTTCAAATGAATGAATCAGAGTCAAAGTGTGAATCCAAACAAAACCCTTTGGTCCTTTTTAGTGGGCGGAAAACAAGCACATCATGTGTGTAAGTTGACAGAAGGACACGATTTGGCATTTACATGAATTTCTGTGTCTCTTCTCATGAATCAGCCACTAAAGTTCAGCCGCTGCATCATCGTTTTAGCTGCTGTTTACCTGAGAATTTGTTAAAGCAGCTGATTTTTTTAAACATTCACTGGATGCTGTAAACTGACCTGATTTCATATTTCAGCTTGTTACGGTGAATTTGTTTGCAAACTGCTGCCCGTTTAGCAGTTTTCTGGCCACCTGAGAATTATATTTCTATCTTTGCTTTGACCGACCCCTGAGGGAACGATCTGTTTCCTAAGCTAATTTCCTCGCTGCGTGCAGAGCAGCTATTTTCATCAGAGAGAAGAACCAGGCTGAAAGATTATCAAATGTTCACCGGAGAGTTCAACTTGAAACACAAAGGAAGGTGATGATTCTTATCTTATATTACATAGCTTTGAAATTATGACGCTCTCCCACGTCTTTGTCCCGTCTTTGTCCAATCACTCCAGCTGGTTGCAGCAGATGGCCCCGCCCCTCCCTGAGCTGGTTCTGAGGTTTCTTCCTGTTAAAAAGGAGTTTTTCCTTCCTACTGTCACCATAGCGCTTGCTCATTGGGGATCTTCTGATTATTGTGGTTTTCGCTACCTTACAATATAAAGCACATTGAGGCACCTGTTGTTGTGCTTTGTTGCTGTATAAATAAAGCTGAACGTCTGCTTTAATGAAGTTTTTAACTGGATTTTCTTCTTTCCAAACTGGGACACATTTCTTATCCTTTTCACCACAGAATGATGTTTTCAGTCCACAATCTGTTATTTATAATAATAATAGCTTCTTTAGGAAGTGTGAGACCCCCCACTTACTTCTGCCATTCGTTGGTCCTCTTCAACAGGGACAAATTTGTCATGCATGCCATGCACCAGCAGGACGGGCACTGTCAGCTCAGCGTGGTAGACCTCGTCCCCCTCAGGCCAGTACTGCCCGCTCATCATGGCACGCAACACAAAAGACGACACATTGAAGGCATTGTTCTCTTTCAGCAACTGCTTCTCCCTGGCGCCCTGCCGAGCAAAGCCCGCCCTGCAGAGTAGACGACATTTATACCAAAGAAATTTTTTTTTATTTTAAACATTAATTGAACAGCAGATTAAACATAAGAAGAATTATCCTACATACATGATATTACACATACAATAAACAGGATTTGCTACTACAGACAGTTTTACTGTCTGCACGACTTTTATTTCTTTGTCAAACTCTCTTACTCACACTCTTTCTGCAAAATGTGTAAATACGATTGGTCTTAAATAAATATTGGCACTATGATGTAATATTGAAAAAGCAATGTATAACACTGCAAAATACCCAACTGTGTGCACATTTCATCTGACTGGACTCATTGCGTTTATGTTTAGGAGGCTACAAACCTGAACTTCAACTGTTTAGAGAAACAGAAAACAAACTGAGTCGTGCCTCCTTCCTTGGAGGATCTTTCAGTTTCGCTGTCTTACTTGAGAAAGCACCAGGCGAGCAGTGGGGAGAGGCAGTGAAGCACACAGGTGGGCAGGTTGAAGATGGAGCAGAGGCTGGGCTCCAGAGCTGTGGGACCGCCGCCGTTGATCATCACCATCTTGTGAATTTGTTCTGGATATTCATGAGCCAGGAAGGTGCAGAACGACACACTAGACAAAAAGAACAGTTACAGGACAGACTGAAAAAACCAGGTAATCATGCTGTGGTAGTCATCTTTGAAATCTACTGTTCAGAATTGGTCTTTTTTATGTGTGAGTCCAAATATTGTGCCTCACTTTTTCACTTGCTCACATTTTCACAAGTCAGCACGTCTTTAAAGTCTGGATTAAATATAGTGTGTAAGAAACTGAGCAATAATTATCACAGTTAACAGCAATAACACCGATTTTAATGGCTATACAGGAAGTAAAAGGAAGTTAGCGTAGCATAAGACCCAGCTAAATAACAGACAGAATAAAATTTTATATTCACTACACTCGAAAAAGTATTTATGCACAAAATGCCGACTTCAAGTCATTTGTTTGCAGGAAATTACAGGAATTTGATTACGTGTAAACTTTCCATGTAATTTTTGTTACATACAATGCAAAACACACTTATTAGAATCTGGTCAAAAGAAGTTCACTGGATGAGCATAGATTCAGTTTACAGGTTTATTCAGGAGGCAGAGCATACATACTAACTGGAGGCTGGCGGTTTGTGGGTGGTGCCAAATATCCTTGGGAAAGATTCTAAACCCAAGTTAGTCCAACCCCAACCAATCACAGCAGATGGCCCCGCCCCTCCCTGAGCCTGGTTCGGCCGGAGGTTTCTTCCTGTTAAAAGGGAGTTTTTCCTTCCCACTGTCACCAAAGTGCTGCTCATAGGGGGTCATATGATTGTTGGGTTTTTCTCTGTATCTATTATTGTACGATCTACTGTACAATATAAAGCACCTTGAGGCGACTGTTGTTGTGATTTGGTGCTATTTAAATAAAAATGAATTAAAGTTGCTCTCTGATGCATCCATCAGTGTAAATGTTTGTCAGAAAGCACATATGCATAGAAAAAAGTGCTTGGATGAATCATGCAAGTTGTATAAAGCTACCTGAGTGCTGAGTAGAGTAGAAAAGCACTTTATAAGAACCAGTCTGTTTACCATTTATTCTGTTGTATTTTACTCAAAGTTATTGTTTCATGCTTATGAGGGCAAAGAATCATTTATTTAGTTAGACTGGAAAGTCCCTTTGAAATGAAATATATATGTTATTCACATACTAAATGTCTGTGCTGTATAATTTACATTTGTGGTTTTAATTATAGCTCTAATTATAGAAGTTTAACAGTTCTTCTTAACATATCTTTTGTTACTGTATAGCATGTCCCACTGTATGTTGCTACACCTTTTGTTTACTGGCAACTTTATTTTCCATAGCTTATTATGACGTGTCTAAAAAAACCTATTTTTAGAATTAGTTTTGAACATTTTTAATTATTCATCCCTCGTGGTCTTTGAACCAGTGTATTTGTTTTTATTGTAGCTTAATTGGTGTTATTTTTGTACTTTTGATTGTTTTTAATGTATTTAATCATTTTTGTGTATCACTTTATAACTGCTGTGACTGTTAAAGTGCTTGAAGTTGGTTTTGTATGGTATGGTAAAATTCTTGTTTTATCTGACTAACTTCATGAAATCTAAATATGTTGAATTTTAATGAAACTGCAGAGTAAATTCTTATATTTCAGAACCTCCAGTAAGATCTCAGATCTTTGCCTGACAAATGACTGAAACAAAGAGGCGCTGAGGTTTCCTGAACACTTCTGGATGACCTCCGGACCGTGTTCTGTTTGAACGCTGTGATCTGGGACTCACCCGTAAGAGTGTCCTATGAGGATATTCCTCTTCCGAGCGTATCTCTTGAAGATGATTCTCATATCCTCAGCCAGCGCATAGAACGTGTACGCTGCAGGAATCTGCGGTGCTGAGCTGGCTCCGTGTCCTGCCAGGTCCGGGGCAATCACTTCGTAGCCCAGCCGAGAAAAGAAGTCCAGCTGGCTTCCCCAGATATCCAGCGAACCTCCGACCCCGTGAATGAAGAACAACGCCACATCTGGATGTGTCCCTTTACAGGCTGATATCTTCCTTTCACAGTCGATCACCACAGTGCGCTTGGGCTTCCGCCTGCGCTTCCTGGGTTGCTGAGATTGGTCAGTCTGTCCAGCAGCAGGTGCCTCACCCGCTGCTGCTGCTGTGTCCGATGCGCCGTTGTTTCCAGCCGTGACAGAGTCTGATCTCGCCTCAGGAATGCTGACGGGCGGCGACGACTTACCACAGTCCGTCAGTTCTACCTCCATGGTGCTGTTGGGTTCTGTCTCTCCATTCTGGCAGCTTTTCAGCTCTGCGCTCGCCCTGTCACCCAAGTTCTCAATGAACAGCTGTCCGTTACGGTAAACTGTGATTTTTCGTTTGCAGCTCACACTCCCACCAACCCCGGTGGGCTCCTCCACCACCGGCCTGTCGGGGATGATATGCCGAACTCGCAGAATGCGGCCCGGTTTTACCTCCACAAACTCGTAGCCATCAGCAGGTTCTGAGGTTTCTACAGGAACCACAATATTGGTCGGCTTTGAGGTGAAGCAGCAGAGCAGACCTTCCAGAAAGCTGGTCAGCATGGCTGCCAGTCTGCAGGGAATATAGTCACATAAAAACACACATAAGAAACACGAGCGAAGCGAAGCAATGTGAACCTTTATCATACAAGCAAGCTCTCTAGTTAAGCCAGAATAAGAACACAAAACTATGGCAAAATGATTCTCTGCTCGTGTCATTAGAAATTCGCTCAGGAAGATGAATATGAGGAGATGAAGGCACAGTATACATGCATACATGCATCAAGCACATGCATTTGGAGAAACAGCAGAGTTAAATGGCAAATATCAACTAAATATATGCTGCATGTCATTTAAGACTTCTCTACATCAACTGACTATCTGGGAAGCTTAAATGTACCATTCAGAGAAATAAACAAGTTCAGGTGCCTTTACACCCCGGCATCTGTTTACAACTTAAAGCCTTGCTGCTTTCTGTCAGACGTAACTGATCACCATCTTTACTCAGCACGGCCTTTCGTGGTATTAATAGACATGAACGGATGGTAATAGCTCCCTGAGTTAAAGCTGTCCACCATGTGATCGCTCTGCAGGAGCAACACGCAGCAGCACTACTGGTTAAAACCACACAACAACCCATCGGTGATTAAAGGTGCTTTTTTGAAGCGTTGCTCAGTGATTATTGAAGGATATTCATGAATAAAGAAAAGCCAGAGTGTTACTTTGGTGTAAATTAAGCTCATATAGACAGCACGCTCTTCTTCTTCTACTGTATATCATATTCTTCAATCCCAATACAACCACCTTTCTACTTCCTTGCTTCTTTTGAAACTTCTACAACAATTTTGTAACTAAACAGCCCCCAAAAGGTGTCGCTGTGCATTACACAGGTCCTCCTGCAGTATCAGTTGTTGGTTGATTATCTGCTATGGCAACAGCAGCCATGCAGGGTCTGCAAGCGTCTCTGCTGGCTGCATTATCCTACCTTCCTCCCTACTAGAAAGGATTATACTCTCAGTCTCTCTGTTTAAGTCCACAGAGCACAATCTGTCTCTGGATAAAAACAGGAAACTATGGCACTGTGCAGAGACAGTTTTATACTGTTGCGTTTTTCTCTCAACTTTACATCAGCTCCTGTTTTCATGTGGGGATTATAAGCACAACGTAAAACAATATTCCTGCTTGGCCCTTTTAGCCCTTTCTGCTTATACTGGCACATCCACTCTCCAAATAACAGTGCGGTGCTGCCTGTACTGACAGGAAGAGGCTGAGAGCGGCATTTTCACATAAGTGAGGGTCGCCCATTCATCTCACAACAAAAGGCATCATTTTGATCAGGCAGAAGGAGTGACGCATTTTATTTCCTGTTCCATTTGTATAAAATACTGGCGAGGCTGGATCATAACCTAAACCAGCTTACAAGCACAAAAGATAAACCTTTATCCATCTACCACGCCCCTGTCACATAGTCCGATCCCCCCTCATCCCCCTCACCAGAATTTACATTTCAAATATTGTATAACAAGACAAAACTGCAAACTCATAACTAACTGAAGCCTTTGATTGAAATACCAAATAATGACACTCGTTCTCTCTTTCACACGTGGCATCACTTCTGCTATGGTTTTGTTTGTATTAAGTGCACACATGAGTCTGTGACAGCAGACAGACGATCCCTCAGCATGTTTGTGCTCTCTGCTCATGTTGCCTTCATATTGAATCGTTTTTGGCTTTTTAAAGAACTTATTTTAGCATCGCACTCAACAACAAACAAATCCTCCCAAACATAAGAAGTCCCTTCAAATTGCATTATGTTTCTTCACGTCAATATACGGGCCGCAAGTGGCCCCCGAGCCACGAGTTTCACACCCCTGGTGTAAATGAACTGAACACAAAGAAGGTCTTAACACAATCAGGACACATTCACATAGACGCAGAGTGGGAAGGACTCTTTTTTAACACATTGTAACACAAAGTCACACATGAAAGTACCTACATTCATCTAACACTATATTTTTTATGCAAAGTACAGCCAGGGTGTTACTATCTATTTATTGAACCATGATGAGCTTATGTTCACAGGCAGATATTCACAACATCCTCCCTGTGGCTGTGCCGTCCATTTAAATATCACCTGATTAAAGTCGTCCCTATTAGTGAGTTTGCTTCTTGCTAAAGTTCCTGCTCGGGCCCTGCGGTCGGAGACTGTGACTGGCTGTTATATAACATTGCATGCAGGTTAGACACAATCACAGTGGGACTGATGCCCAGAAAAACGAGTAGAGACTGTAATTCGGATTAAAAACAACTGCATTAGCTTCACTGTTGCTATAGTCTCACACTTGTTTATTTAACCAGTGTATTAGTTGTGCTGCACCATTAAAGATCCATTGCATTTGCTGACATGTTTGACACAACTAGAATCACATAGCAGGTGTGGACTGAAGCTTTGAAATGTGATACGTTAGTAAGTTATACATTTTTATAACCAGTTTGTTGTAACTACAAATTCATCAAAGTGAGCATTAAGAAATAATTTAAGCAAGACAACAACGAAAATCCATCTCTAATGTTTTGGTGGTCTTCTTCTTCTACTACTATAATAATAGGAGTCTTGTACCTGGTATTTAAAGCTGCTGGGCCCATGCATTCACTAAACACAATCAAAGCTCTTTGAATAGACTCACTGTCTGATGCATCAGGTGAAGCAAGTGCCAGAAGGTTTCTCTTTTCAGTGTACACTAGAATGTAACGTCAAATAAAAATCCTTTCCGTTATTTACACCGAATGACCCGTGCGTCTTCAATGACGGAGCTCACCTTTACATAGCGACCTTCGTCTTGCCTCCTGCAGAAATCCTTAAACTACTTTATAATCTGAATATTTACAGTCCGCAGAAAAAAATGGGATAAACACACTAATTAAATCAGAAGGCTTACCTTTCCCTGTTTCCCCTCAAATTCCGTCTAATTTTTCAGATTGTTTTCTCGTCAAGCATCGGGGAAGTAGGAGAACTATAATCTGTTGCGGTCAATCCAGTAATCTAATTTATCTGGATTTTGTTGCCCTGTCCACATGGCGGCCAGTATCGACCGATTGACAGCGCATCTCTTTGTGGGTCACAGGTAGATCCACATATCTGCGCGCTCCAGAAACTCCACGTCCACGCTGAAATATCTGCGCGTGCGCTCGGAAACCCACCGGAGCTCCGCGGATGCTTTTAATCCATCGATAGCTGATCGTCTTACAAACACCGTTGGCTCCCGGTTCGGTTAGTGGGAGTGAACACTTGTCCCCTGCTGCTATGTAAGGGGAGA